TCTATGTACAACTCATAGTTCTAAACAGAACTACTGCTTTTACTAAAGAAGCCTTGAAAAACCAGTGTAACTAATCCAGTATTAAACTTGGACTAAACGAACTAATTCGAGACTCACTGTCATACATGATGACAGCTGCATTCAGCTGAGAGAAAGCGTGAGTGGAAATGTGCATTGGGGTTGTAAAATCAGAAATGGAGAAAACTTTTAAGTGTTTGAGTCACAAAGAAACACCCACTTTGCACTCAAAGCTCCCGCACACAACTCTTTAATGTGAAACTACGCTCTCACTCATCTGCGCCTACTGTACTTCCTGTCTCTACAGGATGTCTAATGTATGCTGACATTAACTTTGACATCTGTACTTCCACAAGTGAAAAAATAGTATTAATGTTTTTTTTTTACACATTTATGTATAAGAATAAGTTAACACACAAGTTACAGTGATGATAGTTACAAAGTGCACTGAAGAAGTCAGTTGTCTACAAATTGGCTAAGAGATCAAGAGATATGAAAGGTACAGTGTGGCAGTATGAGAGTTCACATGATGCTGTAAATGACAGCATATATAACAGCATATAGATAACAGCATGAAAGCAAAGAGGGGAAACCCACGAAATGCTACGCCATCACTGAGCAACGTGGTATTCACTCATTCTCGCAGTGTGGTCAGAAAAATGCATGCAGTTGCTACCACTCAGTATCTGTAGATTACCCACACACAAGTAGTAGCTCTGTCGTGGACCATGTGAGCCATTTTAAGCTGCTGATCAGCTGGGCGGGACCAAAGACATGAGGTACCACTCTGTGGAAGGGTGTGCATTTCTACAATAAGACAGCTTAAATTAATGTTTTGTATCTAGACACCTATCACTTCCACCTATCTGACATTCACATAAAAAAATTCTGCATTTTTTAACAAACAACAAGGCTATGTCCCTGAAATCTACAACTTCATATAGGATTCAGCCATGCTATTCTAGTATAAGACTGGAGGGACAATCGGGGGTTAAATGTCCTGCTCAAGTAGAAGCACACCTTAATATCTCTGGTTCTCACCAGTTTAAATCTTATTTACATTTTTCAGTCATTTTGATTCTGCATTGTAGCATTTCCTGAATGTGTCATTGTAATATAACTTCGATGTGGACATATTGTAAATTATGTATACGTGGAATGTGGAAATATGTAAATTATCTCTCTTCTGCGTAATTAAATGTTACAAACCCAATTCTAAAAAAGTCTGGACAGTATGTGAAATGCCAATAAAAACAGAAAGGAGTGATTAGTAAATTCTGTCTGGCTCGTATTCAACTGAAGACACTATAAAAACATGACAGTTCATGGGCCTTCATTGTTGTATTTTGTGCTTCATAATGCACCACATACTTTCAATAGGAGACAGGCTGGCCAGTCTAACACCCACGCCCTCTGATGATGCAGCCGTCCCGTTGTAACACGTGCAGGTTTCTTGTCATGTTGAAATAAGCATGGACGTACCTGAAAAAGAGGATGTCTAAAAGGCAGCATATGTTGCTCCAAAATGTGTATCTTTCAGCATTAATAATGCTTTCACAGATGTGCAAGTTACCCATGCCATAAGCACTAATAGCACCCACCCCCATCCCATACCACGACAGAGCCTGGCTTTTGAACTTTATACTGGTAACTCTCTGAACACTCCTTTTCTTTTTTGGCCCAGAGAATATGACTTCTGTTATTTCTATAGACAATCTGAAACACTGACTCATCAAATCACAATACATGTTTCCACTGTGCATCAGTTCATTTCAAGTGAGCTCGAGCCCAGAGAAGTTGGCAGCGTTTCTGGACTCGCTGTTTTATTGTATTGTTTTCTCAAGCATGACTTTCACTCGATTCCACCACCATCACACTTGACAGTGTATATCAATATTATATTTTATACATCTCTTAAGCTAAATACTGAAAAAACAATGACAGCCACCATGGTGCCAAAAGCATCAGAATAGTATCTGCCCCTTAGTGATAACAATTTAGACACACAATTGCCATCTTCAAAATTACATTAAGGCTTAGTAAATCACTCTATGATACCAGGGATGCAAATTTTGGCAAATTCTTTTAACTAATGTTAAATGTCTTTTAACTAACCATTACTAATTGCCGATTAATAATAATCAGCGATCCTAAATTCAAAGATGCAACCCATCAACAGATCAATTAAAAAATGGACTGCTCTGGTTTAAGTCAGCATTTGCTATTTAAAATTGTCAGCATTGGTCTCACTTTTTCAGACTGTTTTGTCTCAAGACTGTGTGCCAGTCACTTGACTCACTGCCATACCCACCTAACATTTATGACCTATTACAATTTGGGGTCTAGCACGTGGCATTATCCACGCCAGGACAACGAACGTGAACAGCACAAAGCATACTGTCAGGCATAATGCCGCTGATCTGTAAACAAACAGCGAGAGTTCTACTTGAGAGTGTCATAAACTCTGAGTAAACTTTGATAACAATAAAGCTCAATAAAGTCTTTGATAGCTGATTACATAGATTACATCAACAGTCTCAACTCTAATTCCTATCTAACCAGACTGGTATAGCAGCCCAGTGTAAGAAAAAGATTGTGAACATAATCACACAAACATAAAACGTGTGGATACACCATGTGCACACTGGAGGAAATAAAGGGTATTTTTTTCAACATTTACAGGAAGATAATCATACAGACACCCACGTGCAATGAAAATGACATCTAATCTGCAACAGAGAGGCCATGACTCATACACTATAATAATGCATTTGTACCAACTAAAGTACCTTGACATTTGATCACCCCTTTTCAAACACAAGACATTTTGGATATTAACTTTATTAGAACTTAATTCATGATGCTCTCCAGCTTTTTCAATAATTTTACAATCACCTACAGGTCTGTTCATCATCTGAATACAAGTATGCATCATTCATTCATTTCATAGTTACTAAGTTTGTTACTGTGACTAAGATATAATCATGAACACAGCAGGCTTTAACTGCCCTGGTCCAAGTGAAGCTTAGAACAATTAAAATGGGTCCAGGCCAATAACTGCTAGGCTATTTCAGATATTTTTGAGCATGTAAACCCTTACTGACTATCGCACACATTTTTGGCATCATTATCTGCACTACCACATGTAATAACGGCTTTATGATACCCAGACCAACATGAATAACAAAGCTTGAGTCACAATGCTTGTAGTTATTAGACATTTCTTGAGATATTTAAATGGAAGGTAATAAAAGCACACTTCAGATTCTTGTTACTTTTATGTTTATTTCCATTTGTTCTAATTATATATGGTGTTTTTACCAGTAAACACACACTTCTTGCCAAGATAACTGATTTTAAATAATGTGCTTAGGTACATAAGACTTTTGCACAGTACTTTGTGTGTGTGTATATACACTTTTGTACTTTTTAAAGTGCAAAATTAATTTTTTTTTCAATGCTTTTTTAAAAAGATGGCTGTTCAAGACGGTGGTGCACTGACATCAAGTATGAAAGAGCTGGTCTATTTTTGGCTTTGTAGGCAAGTAGCAGGTTTTTAAATGAATGCAGACAGCTACAGGCAGCCCGTAAATTAGTATTAATGTAATTCTTATACAAGCAGAATTACAAGGGAAAATCTGACTAAAATAGAAAAATAGATAAGCATTGGCTTGAAATGATTAGACTAGGCATAAATAAACAGAACATGGTTACAGTGGATGGCTAACATTTTAGTTATCAACATTATACACTATAAGACTAAAGGTATGTGGAAACCTAACCATCACAGCTATATGAGGTGGCTTGACATACCATTCCAAACCCAACTTTGAAGTTGCCCCCCCAGCAGCCTCCACTCTTCTGGGAAGGCTTTGCAAATGGTTTTGGAGTGTGTCTGCAAATTTATGCCCATTCAGTCAAAAGAGCCTTTGTGAGGTCAAGCACTGATGTGCAGGCCACACACCAAACTCAGCAAATCATGTCTTTATGATGTTTTCCTTTGCACACAGGGGCCAGTCATGCTAGAACAGGAAAGCACCTTCCACAAAATGTAGCCACAAAGATGGACGCATATAATTGGATGAAAACCCAGAAAAACAGCCCCAGACAATTATCCCTCCTCAACCAAACTTGACTATTGGCACTATGCACTGTGGTAGGTAGTGTTCTCCTGGCATTCACCAAACCCACACTGATCTTTCAGACTGCCAAATAGTGAAGCATGATTGATCACTTCAGAGAACCTGTTTCCACTGCTCCAGAGTCCAGTGGTGCTGTGCTTTACACCACTCCAGATGACGCCTGGCATTGCACCTACTGATCTTATACTTATGTGCAGCTGCTCAGCCATGGAAACCCATTTCATGAAGCTCCTGATGCACAGCTCTTGTGCTGATGTTGATCCTAGAGGCAGTTTGGAATCTGTAGTGAGTCACGCAACACAGAATTTTTGCATACTTGCATCCACACTTTGTTTTTTGGAGCTATTGTGGCTCCTAGAAGCTTCCATTTCACAATAATAGCACTTACAGTTCATCTAGCAGGGCATAAATTTCATGCTGTTCTATGTTTAGTCACTGAGCTCTTTAGAATGACCAATTCTGCTGCCAATGTCTATGGACACTGCATGGCTACGTGCTTGATTTTATAAGCCTGTTAGCAATGAATGTGGCTGAAAACTCCTGGCCTCAATAATTAGGAGCCATACAGTGTATAGCCATCCAGTGTATGTCTGGCATACATGTACCAGTGGTATTTGATTATGGCTGCAGAGGGCACAAATGTAGAAAACTGGACAATATACTTTCCTATTAAGTGTCCTTCATGTGGTAATCCTTATGGGCTCCCTCATGTGCAGAGGCAATGATCCAATTTCAACTTTGGACTTATAATAAAGGACATAAAGGACTGGTGTTTATGCTTTATGACTATAGTAAAGCAGTATTGGTCAGGCTTGTTGAGAAGTGGGTGGGGTTTAAACCTCTCACTGTAAATAAAATCCAGCAGTTTTTGTCCAGGGCTACACTGAAGACAACCCGTTCAAGAGAAACAAGCAAATATGAAATCCTTGTCTGTGGCTGTTGTCGTGCTGCTGCTGGTGCTGTCGTTACACTGTAAGTCTTCCTCTTTTTTGTTGTAATATGACTGAATTCAACAAGACTTGCCAGGTGATGTGCATGTTTTGGTCAAATATGAATACACAATGTTTATACCAGTACAGAAATACAATCAAATGCATGAAATTGTGAAAACATGGACTCTCAATATTACTTTATGGTCATAGGTGAGGACAGTGTGGTTGATGGAACACGCTGTTATAATGGAAGAGGATTCTGTACAACATACAGCGATTGCCGGAGATTTGGGGGACTTCCCATTAGTAGACGAGAATGTAGATATTTAAGGTAACTTAACTTCTGTCACTCTTCAACATCATTCATTCCATAAATCTATAAGCGTACGGTCATTATATCACTGAACTATATTCTTGGTCTTCAGGTGTTGTATATGACTCATGGCAAGTATCTTCAGAGAATCCATGGCTCGATTCTCCAAAATCATAACCAAGTCTAATGGGACGTCACCAAGAGGACTCCAATCTTACTTCGGACTCCAATCAAGAAACAGGAAAGCTGTTGGTGCAGTGATAATGAAGACTTTCAGGCATCAACAAAAGATCATATTCACTAAGTCAAACTTATTATAACTACTGTTTTTTTATAGATAAACTTTGTTAAAGATTTACAACCAAGTCAATTTTAAAGATTTACTGCAATTCTGATTTTCTGAGGTGTTCAACGCAATCCTTTGTAAATGTTTAATTAAATTAATTTACTTAAATTAATAAGACCATGTGGACTATGTAATGTGTTAACTGTATTAATCACTCTGTGGCAGTTAATAAATTGTATTTTATTTATGTTTGCCTCTTTTTATTTAAATGTAAAATCTTATCTACTTACTTGTCACCTACCAACACATTTCAACTCCTGCCCCTAAAAAAATTCAAGACTTTTCACTGGAACCACAACCTTTGCAGGACAAACTGTGAGTTCTTTAAGTTCAAAGGACAGATGTGGTCATGAAAAATATTACAGTGCACACTGTCCGGTGGAAAGCAAAGCAAAGATGTGAACATTTTACTTCATTTGTGAAACAATGAAAATTCTACATTCTATTAAAGGTCCACTCATCGTGAGTGGTAAAGTACAAACTAAAGGTATTAAAAAACCTAAGTACACAAAAAACTTCGAACACTGAAAGTGACAGTCCAAGGGTGATATCACAAAGGAACTACTCAAGGCTGCTGCACAATTTTCAAAATCAAATTCAATGCATAACAACACACTAAAATATGGCATCAATAACTTTCTATTTTATTCAAACCTTTCTGGAGAAATACTATCTATATGGTCACCAGAAGTCAGAAACGACATGGCAGCACTCAATAATAATAATAATAATAATAATAATAATAATAATAATCAAATCTTCAAAGAGACTGCATGATCCTTACACTCTCTTTTTGGTATGCTTAACTATCAATACTGCTGTCCTTTAGTCCTTCCTCAGTGGTCAGTTTAGACCACTAGACCGCTGGTGGCTGGATGTTTTTGGTTGGTGGACTATTCTGGATTAGTTTAATATACAAGGTGACTCAGTTTTTACATTATCTTTCCAATTAATTCTACAGTAAAACCAGTCCATTTTATCATGTGCATAAAATGACATTATAGACCCCATGTGTCAAACACAAGGCCCGCGGGCCAGATCAGGCCCACCACACAATCCTATCCGGCCCACAAAAGTATTTTAATTTTCTATTAATATTAGCCCGTTTCACAATGTGCTGCACTACAGTCCCCAGCATGCACCTCAATTCTACACAATTCTATGCAATTCCAAACCAATCATATCACCAAAATGCATTTCCGCTGAAGTTTAATATAAACACTTAACTTCAGCTCAGCAGCTCAGAAATTGAGCCCAAGTTTTAATGAACTTGCAGCAAAGAAAGGATGCCAGGTGTCTAGACTGAGCTCCTGGGGACAATTAAATTTAGAATATTTCAAGTGTCCATGTAATATTTCAAGGTCTACTACAAGTGTCTGTACTTTACTGTTGAGGTTTTGCTGGCCCACAAATTTGATTTTGATTTTTTAATATGGCCCTTTTACTGGTTGAGTTCGACACCCCTGTTCTAAACTGTTGTCTTGTTTTTTACTCTACTTTTTATGTTTAATATTGGCTCATGATCAATTTGATGGACTGATCGGAGGATCTGGCTACCAGTCATTTTCATACGTGCTTGAATCACTTCATTTTTTAATTTTATTAAAATTATTTTAATTTTTAACTATACACTCTGAACCAAGAGCTTAATTTGGACATCTTACATGAAATAACCATCTTGTAGGATTATGAATGTGCTTAGATTTCTGATTGAACGATTTCTTTCACCTTTTGAGCAGGCTAACATTTCTGTTTTAAACCAGAAATGGCACACTCAGCTGATTCGAGGATAAGAAACAATGTGGGAATGTATTCAGTACATAGTTCTTAAAGTTATGTTGCTCAGGGTCAAGCGGTAGAAAACAGTCTCATTTTACATGGCCATGTTTAGACGAAAGCTTGCTAGTTGAAACGAGTGAAAACACCAGAGCACGGTGCACACGGTTTGAGCTTCCTCTTTAAAAGAGTTGCACACTGCAGACATTTAAATCACTCTGATACTATCTGAAAGCGTCCCTCACTTGAGGGAGTTGTGGTTAATGTCTGATTATGGCCCTTCGACACAGTGGAGTAAACAGAGTGCAAAAAAGAAACTAAAGATCTGAAGTAGGTCAAGCTTATTTAGCCAATACATGACTTTTTAAGGGTCTGCAGGAGACCCTGACTATTATTAAGTGAAATAAATTTGTAAAGTTTGTATTATGACCTGATATTTCACAACAATACCAGAACACATACAGAACTAAGTCAGTATACAGAAATAATAAGAAAATAAGCAGCCAACAAGATATTTGGATCCACGTATCCTAACAGTAGATGATTTATGAACATGCACTCGGAACAGCTTGCATAAAAAAGCCTGTCAAAACATATATATTTTGCTTCAATAAAAAGCGCAACAAAGCGATGACCCTGTCACTGGGAGATTGCAACTTCGATCCCCAGAGATGCTAAAGTCATCCATAGCAAGTCCAAACTAGCATTATTCGCCTCGCTCTCTCTGGGTGGAGATGTTAGCTCTCCTTTTTCCTATTACACTTGAGAACCTACAACTGACCACGGGTTCAAAGATTTGGTCTTCAGCAATGTCAGTAGCAAGAAGATGGCATGATGGTCATACATACAGTTGACCAATTTAGCTATAGATATTAAAAGAATGCAAATTTAAGTCCTGCCAATTCACAATTTATGCTAAAGGGACACATGTATGGGTTAAAATGTGCGGACTGTCATATACAACTGACTATCGAAAAAACTGGCAACTTATTAAATGCAGCAATAGAGCGGATGTACAAACCCAATTTCAAAACAGTTGGGTAGTAGGTACAGTAGGTAAAATGGAAATCCACTGGAAACCCACTCTCATCTATTCAAACAAACAGTACAAAGACAAGATATTTCATATTTATTCTAACCAATTTCATTGATTCAACTCATTCCAAAAAAGTTGGACAACTGGTGGTGCAACCATGCTTGGGTGTAAAAGGAGCCTCCAGGAAAGGCTTATTCCTTTATGAGCGAGGATGGGTTGAGGTTTGCCACTCTTCTTTAACTCTTCTCAGTAAGCAAGTGCAAGGATTTGGGGTATTTCACCCTCTACAGTGCATATCATCAAATGATTCAGGGAAACCAATGGAATCTCTATGTGTAAAGGAAAAGGCCGAAAACCACAAATAAAGGCCTATGACCTTCAATCCCTTTAATCCACTGCATTAAAAACCGACATGCTTCTGTGATGAATATGACCGCACATGCTCAGGAACACCACTGTCAATAAACAGTGTCAGTCGCTGCATCCACAAATTCAAGTTAAGACTGTACTATGCACAGCAGAAGCCTTATGTCGACTTCTCTGGCAACTCTGCCAACTTCTCTGGGCTGGAGCTCATCTCAAATGGACTGATGCACAGTGGAAATGTGTTCTGTCGTCTGACGAGTCAACCTTTCTGATTATTTATGGAAATAATGGATGTCATGTTGTCTGGGCCAATGAAAAAAAGGATCATACAGATTATTACCAGTGTAAAGTTCAAAAGCCAGGGTCTGTCATGGCATGGGGGGTATTAATGGGTAATATCTGTGAAAGCACCATTAACACTGAACACATTTTGGAGCAACATATACTGCCTTCTTGCCACATGCCTTCAGGGATGCCATGCTTATTTCAACATGACAACAACCAGCCGCATTGTGCATATGTTACAGTGCCATGGCTGCATAATCAAATGCAGTGTTAGACTGGCCTGCCTACAGTCCAGAACTGTCTTCCATTAAAAAAAAGTGTGTCTTATCAAGCTTAACAACAGCAAAGGTCCAGCTAGTATATAAAAGGTGATTGCTAAGTGTGTAAGGAAGTTCTGATTACTGCGCCTTTCCCACACAATGATCATAAACCTGTCTATTACTCCAACAGATTAGCACATAAAGACTCAAAAGGTACCATAGTGTAACAGGTTCAGCATGTATGGCTGGTTACAATAACAATATCAAGGAAGCTTGTATTTTATTGATTAATAAAACCATTTGTATATAAACTGTTTGGCACATAATACCATAAAATCACAAGAGCATAAACTAAACATAAGTTTGTTGAGGTCAATCCAGCACAGTGCATTAAAGTTCAACAAAAAAAAAGATCTGCTAGGCTGTCGACTACCTTAAAATGCTGCAGTAAAAACAATGCGTTTTTGGTAAATGCATAGTGTGACACTCTGAACTCTATTTTGCATGCTTGACCTGTTATTTTGACACTATATGGCCATTTTATAGGTGTGTTTAATACTGACACATAATTTAATTTCATTATCCCAACTTATGATTTGGCTTCCATTTGCTGTACTTCAGTTTTGATGTGTTTAACAGTACATACTGTGCAATTTTATCTCTTGCCTTTTGGATGACTTGCGTCATTTTATAGTGCTGTGAAATCACTGTTTTATCCTGCTCTTTTCTCAAAGGTTTTCACTTTGAATGTGCAGTTACTGCTAAGAGTGGTTTTATATTAGGAGTCACATGGCACGGTGATACGTCTAAAGCAGAACATTTCCATAATTCTTGTTTCTACACCAGCAGCGAGTGAATATTGTCACAGGAATGTATTTTGTGCATGTTTCTATAGTGGCTAAGGGATGCAGTGTCAGCTAGTCAACAGTCTCATAAGCCAGACGAAGCAGGTTCTGAGAACTGCTGACTTTGATTAGGCTTTGAGAAACTAGAAGTTGTCATGTTGCAACATGTTCAACATGAGGATGGTCAAGACAATGATCTGTGGATAACAGTACAGTACAAGAAGAGCTGCTAGGCTCTTTCCATCAAACAGTTGACACAAATGAACAAGATGAAAATGCAAAATATCCGGATGATTTTTTTGTGGTTTTGTTGCATCAACTACACACACTTGATGCGACACTTTTTGTCAAAATGTTGCTGTGTCGTTCGCGTCGTGAGCAAAAACAGACAAATGTCCCGAATGTCTTCAAGTGCAAAAAGTATCCTCACTAAGCAGGCAAGTGATGACACTGGACAGGCTACTTTCCATTTTGGAAAACTGAATGTAGTGTGGAGAACTTCCACAAATAACTTGGATATCTGTAGCCCAGTTTCAGCTGTTTTTAGACATACTAATACTTTCTGAGCCAAAGCAGACGGCAAACTAATTCTTTTAACGTTTGTCAAAAAGTTCTAGGTGCTAGGACGCAGCTGAGCCATCATCTTGGTTGTTGCCGTGAACGTCAGAGATGACATTGAAGGAAGTGATGGGAAAGGATACAAATGTTGAATTTTTTCCGTCTGGAAAATTGCATTTGGTATGCATAGTAACATCAGTTATACACATGCCCTGAATTAATTTGTCACTGACCCTTACTGAAATACAACGAAAACTCACCACTCAAAACGCACTCATCTACCGCTAGCCCCTATCAGCAAGCTTCGTAATGACAACTACTGGACAAGGCAACAAGTCCTGCAGCCTCTGTGAGTGGCTTGTTATTATAATTCTTGAAAAATACTAGGGGTGGGTGGCAAGAAAGGTGAGCTGGCAACTGAAAGGTTGTGGGTTTAAATACAAGGACTGACGAAAGCCCTGTTTTGATTTCTTCGCCAACTTCGACTCACCACTCGATGTACATCACACCTACATTCCACAAGTGGCCACTCACGAGTACATGAGGTACAGTGAGAAGTGGACTATTAAAATGGATCATGCTCATCCTCAGCAGGTCAGCCCCACTGATCCAATTGGCTACCTATGCAAACTTTGCAAAGGAAAATGTTTTTCTGAGAAGTCTGAGCATAGAATAGAATAGAATTAGAACAGAGTTCAGAACCATTAGCCTACTGTGTTTGCACACAGAGGAATTAGACCTCCGCATTTAACCCAGCCGTGCAGTGAAACACCCACATACGTGCACACTAGGGGGCAGTGAGCACACTTGCCCAGAGCGGTTGGCAGCCCTAACCACAGCGCCCGGGGAGCAACTGGGGGTTAGGTGCCTTGCTCAAGGGCACTTCAGTCATGTACTGTAAGCTGAGGGGATTGAACTAGCGACCTTCCGGTCACAGGGCTGGTTCCCTAACCTCCAGCTCACGACTGCCCACAGTTGTCAGGGGAAAGCGCGAACGCAGTCCCCCACTGCCAGAAATTATGCAGTCGAGATTCCCGCATTTGGGGAATTCGCAAGGGTCAGCACCAGCGAAGTGCAATGGCCTCGCCTCGCCCTGGGTGAACCACCTTTGTGATCATGGTATCGCCCCTGCCAGGTAAGCATAACGCACATATCGTTTGTGAGTAACTGCTTTATCTGGCTATAACTTCAGTGTGGTGCCTTTCTTTTTTGTTGTTGCTAGCCATGTAGCCTTAAGTATGCTAACTAGCCAGCTAACAGAGTGATGAAGTTGTATCAGCAGTCTGGTATGACAGATGGAGGAGTTTGTAATCTAAAGCCCAGCAAACTGAATGTTATGGTTTTGAAATATTAAGCATTTTAAAGTTTACTGCTATGATTTATAAACAGCTTTGTCCACAGTCAGGTTTGAAAAGGGAAATGCGTCAGGTTGCAATGATTTCTCTGCAAGTTCTGCTGTTAAAGTCAACACTTATGTTCACTTAATAACTCGGCCCTCCTTGGGCTCGTTTAACAACCTTCATTTGAGCTAGTAAAGTTATGGAACAGTCTTTAACATGGCTTTAGGGATTCTCTAATGGGGAAAAGTTTACACGTTTACATAAGAGTCATTTTAACAACCAAAGCAAATCTGAAATATTTTCATTTTGCAAAATAGTAAAAACAAAACTGAACAATATACATATATATAAACCTTTATCAATGCTGCTTTCGATCATGAGCACCGCAGGCCCAGCAAAAAGGATGCTAAATTTTGAGTTAGTTAGCGTAAAGTTAGCTTCTTATTCAACAGCTTTTTGTTCAGATTTTCCATTCCACCTTAAATGAAGAGCCGGTCACATTGTGGAACGTGTACAAGCGCCTGAATGTAATTGCTGCGCCATTTAAAGTGGAACAGGAAATTCGAATAACAGGCCAACTTCAACTCAAGTCAAATGTCAAGTCATTTGTCGGCCATACAGTCGTGCATCCGACCGTCAGACACTGCATGAATTTGGAAAATGTTACAGTCGTTCACTTTTTAGTACCAGCTCATCAACGACTTGCTGCAAACACAAACCCCGATAACATTATCAGCAGGTGACCAAGTCATTCAGCTCCTTTTCAGTGGTACAACGCTCTGGTGTCAACATTAGGCTAAGGCTAACTCCAAAATACTGGTCATTCGTTTATGTCCACTGCCTTGGAAAACAAAGTTGCCTAACAGATGTTAACGAACTAGGCAGCGGGAGGTGATGGAGAGACGGCTGCAGTTTCATTTTCAATTCACACGTGCCTGAAACATCCCTGACTCAGCTATTCAGCAAAACGGAATAACGTTATTGCTTATTTGCAGCATATCCGACAAAATTTTTGCCTGAGAAAGAATTTCAACTGCCAATTATTGAAATAACCATTAATTATTTTCAAATAATCTTAACTGCTCCAGTTATAATTAATTCTCGAGTGAATCACCTGTGATAATACGAAAGAAAAATCCACATCGGCTGTTATGTCTTGCATAAAATTCTTTGAAAGAATTCCAATAACAAACAAGTTCAGTTGCATTTATTTATTTATATTTTTGGATAAAGTTAAACATCACCATGCATACACAGTGAAGGGGCAACTTACATTCTCTTGCAACAGCATGAATGCTTGTTAGGAGTAACGAGTCATTTTTAGCATTAGCATTTTTTACATGAACACCTGACCAGTGTGGCTAACGTGTGGCCTAGTTGGCCTAGTTTTACAGTAAAACATGCTTAAACTTCTTTGTTTGGTTATTATTGGAACAGGTGTTCCACATTTATTCAGGAATGTGAAATTTGTGTTATGATGCTAAAGTATTAAAGATACAATAGCTACAAGCTCAGATTTAATAACACAATAGAGCTTGTGCTCTTTGTCATTATTGGAAAAAAACGTTAATTTTTTGACATACATATGAAAGTTTCATAATAAACAGGCCAAAAGAAATGATCCAAAATTACTCGGAATAAAATCTTTTTATACTGCAAAGAACAGGTGTGGAGTTTAAAGTCTGACCAGAAGAAAACATCACACATTTACATACAGGAAAAAAAATAAATAAATAAAAATACACAAATAAAAGATAATAATACACGAATACTGGAGTTTAAATGTGTAGAATGTTATACATTTTTAGCAAAAAACTGTTGTTTTAAGTACCAAATAACTATATACAACAGCTTCTCCATGAGGACATAATGCTAATATGCCTAATAATAATAATGAGGTTCATTCAATAAAGCCCAAATTAGACACTTCTGACCTGTTTATTCACTATGCATTAAGCTTTCTTCATCGTGACCTTTATAAATACATAAAAAAGAACGATAACAATAAGGCCCAAATATATTTGTTCCGTAAAATACAGTGATAGGACAATACTACTACTACTATTAATAATAATAATAATAATGATAATAATAATATTAGTTGATGAAATACATTATAAAATCAACCATCATAACCTTGCGGAAGCAACTACGGCACAATCAGAATGGCACATGTAAACAGAACCACTCGCTGAACAGCAAACGAAAGTGCTTTCAGACCATTTAAGCACTCAAGTGGTTCTTTAAGTTGTCATGGTTCTACAGTCATGTGTAAAAGTTTATATACCCCCCAGTAAAAATTACATGTTTTGTTGTTTTTTGTTGATATTCTGTGCTCTTCGAAAAGGAACCTAAATGTGCTTTTTTAACAAATGTTGGACGAAATATTGGAATAAAAATAAACCATAAAATATAAAATGTGCCGTCATTTTTGCACATGCCACATTGTTTTTTTTGTTTCAATGTTACATTTAGCAAATGAATAAAAAATACTTTACTAATGTGTAAAAATGTAAACTTATTTTTACTTTGAAAAGCAACAAAACATGTCATTTGGCCAAACTTTTGCATGCGACTGTATATACATACATCTCTGTACTAAGGGCTGTTTAGTAGAGTGTATTGTATTCCCAATTTTTACATTATTTACAATAACCTATAGCCTCTTTCACCATTTACTGACTCGTCTTTTTCACTTTTCTGTTTCTCCTTCTATTCTTTCTCTTTTTTCCTGCCTTCCCTTGATTCTTAGAGCCCCGTGGTGCGTCTGCTTCATGCTGCTTCTTTGGTGCTGCAGAAGCGGCTGACTCTTGAAGCCACCTGCTGTTCACTGGTAGCTTGGTCGGTGTCGGCAGGGATGCCCCCTCTCCGTTCGCCTCTGCCGGTGAATCTGATGACAGTGCAGCACTGTCCTTTATACTCTTCTCTGCCTCTTTTCTTTCCTTATCCTTATCGACCTTTCTCATGGCTCTTTTGGTCCAGTCCCTGTTCGGATCGGCGCAGAGTTTGTTTCCGTTCCGAGTGTCAAACCTGTGAAAAGAAACTCATTTTTATTAAATGATGCTGGTTTAAAGGAAGAAAGTAACCCCTACTTAGAGTTATTGAACTGTATCATAATGATATATTCAGACACTTTAACTTTGCGTGCTACTGTGTTTCCTATCGCTATATAAAAGAAGCTTTAATTCAGAACAGGATTCCGATTGCGACAGGTTTATTATATGTTTCAGATTTACTAAAAAAGGAGACTGAAAAGTGATGTATTCCTATTCATCTGTTTGCTTGCTCAAATTCGTAGTTTGTGACACAAAATAACAAATTTTCAACTTTGTTATATCAGGTTCCTCACGCCTTAAAATGATTGCAATTACAGCATTGAGAAATCGAGATAACACAGAAGAAGAGCACACTTAATGACATAGATTTTTGCCTCAACACATTGTCAAGGGACAATGCATACAGACGTGTTTCGGCCAAAGGCCTTTATCAAAGTCAGTCAAATTAACAAATAAGTGTGATAAAGCCCAAAGGCCAAGGCGCGTCTATTTTTGTTTTGTTGTTAAATAATAAATAACGGAAACGTAACTTTGGCTCTCCTGCTTAATATGCACACTATGCATGTGTTACTTTTGCCAGTGGAGGACAATTTTGTTGAGCTTCAGTAATTTCATATTTAACTAGACTCACATTAATTTCATTATTTCCCTCAAACATCCTTCAAACATACTTCTACAAGGTACTAGGGCACTTACACGACTGCCATGACTGGGCACAGTCCTTTGTTCTGCCATTTGTAGTCCCGGATATTATCCAGACGGACTGTGATCTGCGATACTTTGAGGCAGCAATTGGATGGACGTCTACTTTCTGTGAGTGAAAAGAGTATGTTAAACATGCCTACAGTCATTCATTTTTATTACAATCTGAATACAAGAACTTACTAAAACAATCTATGTTCGTGTGAACAGTGAAGATTATAGACCCATGTGTACAGTTTCAAACCAAGAGAGAAGTATACGCTTCCATATTACAACTTTGGTCTCAGAAATCTAGGCCATACCACAAAGCGTATGAGCGGTATGTATTCACAGAAATGAAACTTACGAGCAAAGGCGCTGGAGAACGCTGCGACGCAGAGGAAACAAACAGCTAGATGCAGGTTCATCTTGCGCGGTGATGAATCGTGTAGGCAACTGCACTGACTGCTCTTGGACCATCGGGGTCTTATCACAGGGTGGGGGTGGGTGGGACCTAAATAAACCTACACCTTTCCGAAGTATACATGACGAATGGAAAATATGAACAGTTGGGTTAAAGTTGCAAAAGGAAATGACCGTCAGGTGTACTGAAACCAAGAATGGAAGAAAATGGTCACGGACCGGTCATTGGCGCATGAACATCTCCAGTGGTTGGTTTATGTCCAAAATACCACAAAGCTTACTGAACTTTCAAATGTGCCATCTTTAAAGCTTTCGATTACTTAAAGAAATGGAACTTCGAATTATACAACAGGTTCTACGGCAGAACATCTATTCAATGTTCCGCCTTACGGTTAAATGTGATATTCTGTCATTAAAATGCTTTAAGCGGGTCTCAGCCTATATGGTACATTTGTATTTTTGCTTATCTGCAAAACATACTATTATGAACACATTGACATTTATTCACTTAGCAGACGTTCTTATCCAGAATGACTTGCAAAACAGTGCAGACAAAAGAAAAATGGACTCAAAGTACCAAGAGAGTCTCGAAGGATCTATGACTTACAGACAAGAGCTTTGAGTCCAATGTAGTTTAATAAAACACAGACTTCAAAGGAAGATATTAAGTTAGGCTTTCTATAGAATAGTTGACTGGCAAATTGTGGGTGTGAAACCACTGACAGACACGGGGAAAACATGGGGTCTCACACAGTCATGAAACCACACATACATATTTTCATCCCCTACAACCTAACCGCCTCGTCTTCATTTGCTGTACTGTATCAGTATAAGTTAATAATACTGTCTGCCAAATATGATTGGGGCATGTTTCGCCAGTTTGCTATTCACCTAACTAAATTTTTTCAGCCAATAATAATTCCTTTTTTAAGTTGAGTGTTTTAGAGCAGGGGAAACTATGTAGTATCAGGCCACTATACAATATAACAGATAATGACGACATTCCACCAGTGTAGAAATCCATATGAAATCCAATCTGAAGGCTGGGAAAGAATCATATAAAGTCATGCAATGTTTTTTTCATAGTAGGCTTAGTTCCAGTTCTGAAATCTGATTGAATGACTTAATTTATACAAATGACCACATATACATCGACTGAATTTAATACCAATATGCGAATGAATATTGTCGCTCTCAAAAAAACCCTTACATCTCCATTTTTGTTTTTTATTTTTTTACATAATTTGAAATTAGCAGTGGCTGTTCACAATGTGTCAAAATGAACAGAAATGGTCCAAAATGACTTTGAATAAAATCTTTTACATCAACTTATATTGAACGTTTAGAACTTTTTTCCCAGTAAAGTTACCTTTATGGAGATCTATGGTTTTGTTCTAAAACCAACTATATGAAAAATGTAATTCAAAATACTGTACAACAATTTGAAAAGATGTATAATGCACTTTGTCCAAAATTACGTTTTTTTATTTCTGGCATTTATAAAAATAATATAATTCATATTTCGTACATGTGTAAAATCCAATCCCAACAATGTATATCATGGGAAAAATAGATCGTAGAAGCAGCATTTAATGGTCTTCATTTGGAATAATCTTTCATCACCATGTTGCCTGGAAACCTAGTCTACTATTAACAAATACCGCTCGTCAAAACTGTACATTGTATATTAATGTTGATTTATATAAGCAATAAGCCTCTTGAATCCTGACATTACATACAATTATAATTTACCATTGTAAAGAGATTTATAGCATCTAATAATGCAAACTTTACTGACCTACTTTGTCTCTACAAGTACAGAAAACAGAACACACATCTGATATGAGCTTTAGTTAGGATAGACAGATAAAGCTGTTAAAGTTTTCTGAAACACATTCTAATATTAGAATGACTACTTCTGCGCAAGAGGGGAAAACCCTTGTGAGACTCAAACTAAGTACTCATTCTCACAGTGTGGTCAGAGAAATGCACGCAAATGCTGCCATACAACATCAGCATAGTACCAACACAGCGAGTTTCACTGCAGGTTCCCCTCAGCTGGGCCTCAACAACCTTTTCTGTGTACTGAAGACCATCATGTAAGAGCCTGAGTAGACCATGACAGCTCTGGACCTCCTGTGTTTAGTGCCAAATAGAAATAAAACAGATTCTAAAAAGTCCGTTTCTAAACTCTGATTGGCTTAGCCTTGATTAACTCGATAGACGCACATCTGATCAAACACTTCAACTGAATTTTGTTTAATTAATGGGGCAAAAATACATGGAATAATCTTTAATGTTGCTTGGCAACCAAAACCTACTGTTAATAATCTGTCTTGCTTGGTCATAATATTGTACTGTGTGCTATTAATAAAAGTAAATTAAATGAATGATTTATTGAACAATTACTGGTGTATGTCTTTGCCTCATTCTAGCCAAATCAAGAACAACTTTCCAAGCTTGTACACCCCCTCATTAACAACAAGGTCAGTGGTATGGGCTCTTTCCTCCTTACTAAGCGGAACGCACATAATCTGGTCATGTCAATGTAACCGCTTAAAAGAAAATAGGACACTTGCTTCCCACAAAGGGACAAGACTTAAAGATGCTTATTAGATTCAACTTTTGTGTGCTTTGTGTGGCAAGAACCCCCCCCCACCCCCAACAATCACATTTCATTACTTTCTGAACTGATGCGTATCTGTATGACTGCTCAGCGCAAAGCAGATACCGTTTAAACACATTCCAATAATAAAAAAATATTATTTAATAAAAACCACAAAAACAGATATTAGAAAATAAAGCCTTTATTATAGTTGATAAATTAAGCGGTTTTAAGATTCAATAACAATTCATACAAAATATATAATTCATACAAAACTTTTCTGTCCCTGAAAAGATTCAAAACAATACACAAAAAGCTTAAATGTGAAAATAACAATAATAATAACACAAAATCTCACAATAATAAAGTGCATATTCATATATCAAGACTTCAAACACAGTGGAAATGCTAATCAGACGATCGGAATGTACATAAGCTCGTCAGTCATATCAAGCAAGAAATAACATTCAGTTTGCTGTCATGCTGTTACTCTGCATGACAGGTGGTAATGATGTGGTTTGGGGCGACGTTCTTATGGGCTTTGTTTGCTGGGGATTATTCTTCTTGTCCAAAAAGGCCATGGCCCTGATCGCCCATGGCGAGGAGGGATCAGAGCAGATTATGTTTTCCCTCTGAGTCGTAAATCTACAAAAAGAAATTCATGACGTTATAAAAGATCCGTAAAGTACAATATACACATTTGTAAAATGAACACTATGTCTTTATCGAGCCTTACTTCACAGCATAAACAGGACATAAGGGTTTCGTCTGGATCGTGTACTTCGAGAGCTGATCCACAGACACTTTTCTATCAGATGTTCTAAGGCAGCAACCCACAGGTGGACGAGCTTCACTACCTGCAAAAGAGAGAAGTCAAACATCTTCCCAAACAACCATCTCAGTATCTTTGTCATAAACATTTACGATTGAGGAGAGTTACATAGTGAAGTTGAGTCAAACTTACCTTGTTTTGAAAGAAGCAGCAACACGAGAATTGCAGCTGAGCAATGGAGAACGAGAGGCAACTTCATGCTGACAGGTTAAGCTATCTTCAGTGGTCTGAGCTTCTCTTGAGAAGCAGCCTATTTAAGCCTACCCCACAAGCTTCAGCGGAACAAACAGAGGCAAGTTTCCTCCCACTGGTGCATCTACGGTACCACCTTTTAATTTTACACCATTGTTGGGCTGTGGGTGCGAAAGCCACTCAAAGCCACCGATGGAATCGTGGTGAAGTTCCGCTCCGTATTAGTAACACCTTACACAAGCATCCAGATGGTGGTGACGGTGATGACAGTTACTTAAAGAATAGTTTTATATTATTTATGTTTATGTTTAAGATATAAAAACACATATTGAAACAAAACACGAGACATAAAAAAATGGTTTTATCCAAAACAAGCAACTCTCATATAAATAGGTAGTATTACTGGGCCAGAAGTAAAAAGTAAAAAAGTATAAGAAGTATTAAAAAAGTATAAAACTACAATGACCAACGTCAATGACATTACTGTTAGATGTACTGACAGTAAAGTTTATCTTCAACAAAGTTTTGAACAACTTTTCAGCACCTTCAAAGTTCACTGGCTTCCTGGTTTTCTAGGTCATGGTGGTTTGTTCTCGTTTTCTAACCACAGATTAAGGACCCCATCTAAGTATCAGCAAATGTGTAAAGAAAAAAATACCCCTTCTTGGAGGTGACATGTTCTTTAGAAAAGGGAAAGTACACCTGTATGTGCGCCTGTGACCATGTTAGGCTCTTAGCTTTGCCTTACGGACATCGTCTAAAATGCACAAGATCAGCACATTTTATGTCCGTTTCAATCCTGAAGCATTCAAGTTAACCGTAACTATAGTAGCGATACAGAAATGAAGACTGCTTGTGTCATTTTATTTCATTATTTGTGTCTTGCATCCTTCCTTATTGGAAAACGAGACGTTTTTAATTTGCTGAATGGAAAAAAAAATTGTTATACTGCTAAAATATTTGATAGGCTTTATTTCATTTGGTGTTGTAATACATACATATAAGTATATAGTGAATATTTCATGACTCCAAAGACGATAAACAAAACAGGTGAACACGAAACCAGAGAAGCAAAGCACTGATATTATGTGCTTTTATGAGGCAATTCTCAAAGGTAAGATGAAATGTAAGACATATAGTAAGACATATTCAAAGGATTCTCATTAAAAATGTGGACCTATACCCCCATTTACTTGCCCTTAAATAAAAAGGGCTCTCCTTTTTTCTCAGCCCACTAAAAAACTGTCAAAAACGGGGTAAAGAGGCAACATGCGCCTATGGCCTATAAAAAGTACAATGGCAGAGGAGTCCTGTAGGCATGAGAGATGCAGGGTACGTGGGTTCACCACAGAGAGTCATGCTGAGTGGGAGCTTTCATTTCAAACACAATCCCAGAGGCCTCATGTGAACATTTTAAACCAAACTGGCAAATGTATCGTTATCGTGGCAATCAGTACAGTAAGGTGCAAAGCTCTACCTTTACCGCAAACTGTAAAAACCAGGTTGCACCCAGTGCTTAAGCTCAAGAACATAAGAGACACAATCAACGATGTAAAGAACTATGCGATGACAGCAAGAATATGGTATGATGCAACTTCATGGAATCATGTGCTTTCCAAGAAACTGAAAGCATGAGAGAAAAGAAGAATCTTTCTGGATGAGGAGTCATTCCTCAAACTTCTAAAGTAAAATCAAAGTAAAAGACAGATGCGATCTGAATAAGTATCAAAAAGCAGTGCTCAAAGTAGCCTTGGGACTAACAGTGGGCAATACGATGACATTTTATTGTTATTGTGATAAAATTATGTCACAATATGCTTTCCTGAGCGTATCGTGGGTCTCATTAGTACTTAAAGAACATTAAACAACAGTTAGTTCTGGCCAAGCAAGCTGATTGGTTGAGAAGCGTTCTAACCGTGCTGTTATTTCACCATAACATCACAGGTTTTTCACAAACACTGAATCACTACGCTGAGACGTTGTTGTTAAGCAATGACTTTGACAGCTGTAGGAGACGCTCAAGCCATTTGAACATTTTTACTTCTTACTTTGCCACAAACAGAAACTGGATTCTTTTAAGATCACATTTGACCGACAGCTGATTTGGTCAGACTCTAAAGATGAGACGACACTAAATTCCCAAACTGTCATCACCACTGAGCAGCTTTTCAGTCGGCAGCTGTGACAGAAGAACCTAAACAACCTGGAATCAGCCAGAAATGAACCCAATACCATTCGCCAAACTAAATGGGCTGTAAGATGCTTTACAGACTGGCTGGAACAAAACAACATTAATATTAATCCAGCAAAAAATTACAATACTGAGCTAAACTTCATATTGCGGCAGTTTTATGACTCAGTCTGTACTTCAAAAGGCGAGGCTTACAGCAGGCTGTGCAGCGAGTGAGCGGAGCTCATTACTCTGACGTAGCAACAAGCTGCTTGTTAAGGAACTATAATTTGGTGAAGGAACTGCGAACATTAAAACATATTAAACACCGCGTTCGTGGCCCAGTTTATTAATTTATAACTTTATTTATTTAACTGTTGTATACAAGCAATAGAACACTCAAGGTCATGTCTTTGGCTCGTGCCTGCGACCAAATCACAGCCGTGATGTTATTTCGCGATAACGCGCTCCGAAAAAACACTCATGTTCTATTGCTTAACTAACTAACTGCATGTTTTATTACAAAGTGAGCATAATCGGGCCTGTTTAATTGAATTTAGTACAGTGCAGATTATGAAACACTGAACATAAATCACTGTAGTTGTAGGTTTATTATTATTATTATTATTATTATTATTATTATAGTATTTTTATGCAAGGCACTATAGGTTCTATTTTGTCAGTTCCAACTGATTACATCTCAGAAAAATAAATATTGTCATGCATATCAAGTAGTGTGAAATGTCTTTAAGTATATATTATTTTTGTCATATCGCCCACACCTACTTGGGACACTCTCTGAATTCAGTACGTTTTGTTTATTTATTACTTTCTAAGCTAAAGTTACCATTTATTAATTTGTGTCCACCAGAACAGTTATGAACACCAACACTAATGTCCGAGTTTACTAACTGAATCGCAAAATGATTCCAGTAATGAACTGAAAATGTAAGATGGCGTCTTAGCTCACAGTGCAGCTTTAAGTAAGGAAAGTAAGAGTACTCAAATATTAGTGGAACAAATATTAGTGTCTCCTTTTGAGTGACAGCTTGAAGTCTTCTAGGCAAGAAGTAATGCTCATCTAGACTTGGACCTGGATTTACTTGTTTGGATGCCCAAGGTTTTGAAGACGCCATGTCTCTTTTCACTACTTCAGTACATTTTTAACACTTGATTTTGGAATGTTTTACGTACCTGTAATTTTTCTCACAGATATTTTACAAAAGACAATTTTTTTTCATCAAATTTATCCAATTCAATAATCAAGGCAACTAAAGCAATATTTAGATGTCAATAATATGGTGTCAATAAGATGGTGAGTCAGGTATGCTTGATGGTGGAGCAGTGGAGATCTCTGGCTTGAACATGTCATGTATGCATTTGGATTAGTGTCCCAACATTTTTTTGTTTTATTTTTTTTAAACAAAATGGGGATTACAAGAAAGTTTTCTGAAGTTTCCATAGTACTGACTATATTGTAGTCCATATTGACATATTGATATTATAGTGAAAATAATAATTTTTTTTTGTTTTTTGTTTTGTGTTATTGACATATTGATATTATAGTGAAAATAATAATATATTCATTAATAATCACAATCATAATACATTAACCTGCCAAATAACTGTAATAGCAACAGAGGTTTCTACTACTGGACACTTCTTCATAATGCAAATGAAGATTATGGTAACTAGTACAGAACTGGTGAATGATACCAGCTTAAGACTTCCTAAATATAATCAACCAAAATTTCTACATTCATGGTGGCAGGTCTCCTATGTCAGTTTTGCAGACACTGCAAATCTCATTCAGTGTCAAGCAGTTAACAACGAAAACTGCAAGAAGTTTGCTTATTAAATATGTTCTCGAATTCAGTGCGTGCTTGATCATAAGACCCACACTGAGTTTCAGAGTGAAAAGGCTACACTTCTTCTCAGACATACTGGAAATCTTTAAGAGTGAAAGCTATCAAACTTCGAAACATCCATAGTTCTCTACTTACTTCTAAGGGTTTTCTTACATTTTTAACACATCCCATATAAGCAAAGAGACCATACTGAAATAATGGAACGTTGCATTAGGTGGGAAACAAAAGCTGAGCTTGTCAAGATATTCTGGAAAGTTATAAATCCAAGTTTCTAAGGTTCACTAGATAGCAGCAGGCCCTAATGCATGCTAATGGGAAAAGACCATCTACTGGGTTAAGTCTATGTCCGTAAGGCGTGCTATACATTGGTTGTCTGCTTTCTTTTAACTGCACTGAGTCAACAATCAGACAATGCTGAAATTCATTGTGCAGGTCAAACACCTCATGTGCCAGATAATGCCTGCAGGGCTTGAGTTTCACAGAAGCCGTAACCTATATAGAGTGCCAAACTAGTGCAGAGGAGTGCTGTAAGTGCAACTTATACAGGCTGTGTGGGTTCGTCAAAAGCCTTTACTCTGAGCAGTGGAAGTGGAACAGAAAACGGAAACTTTGTTTTAACCACACATCTTGGAGATATCACACACTTCACATATCAGATCTCTTTGATCCCAAGCCTGAAACCAATATTTCTCCCGACCATCAATTCACCGCAAGCAATATGGTGTAAATTTGTGAGTAAACAAAGAACATGAGGTGCCATGCATGAGGTGTACAAAGCAGAGCTAAACACTTTCTGCAAGAATAAACTCTAGTTCAGGAGTATTCTGTTAAAACTCACAAAGTCCAGTTACATCAAATGTATTACTTACAAAGGTCCAGATAAACAAACTACCATAGGTGAATGGCTGCACCATTACCTGGTTACCTTTAGGTTACCTTTAAATCCTTAACTGTTAATGATTTGCCTAGACAACTGATCAAGAAAACGAATGGAATGATCTGTACCTGTAATCT